AAACGATGAATTATTTTGTGTGCCTCTATTTTCAGGTGTCCAATGTGAAACACTATTTCAGTGGGTTTGCTTTGAGATGTCTGAAGCTTGCTAAAATATAATATACACGCGCGCACGCACACTCACTCACACACTTATTTCTGGAAGTTTGGGTCTTGAACTGTTACTACAGGAATAGTGGAAATTCTGACTGAAATTTGGTAGTTGAGGGAAGAGGATGGGGGACACTGTACTTGACTTTATTTTAGAAAAAGTTAAATTAAAAAACATTTAAGACATTAGTTTAGTTCTGGAAAATACTAGAGAAGCATTTAAGAGCTGTTGCTTGTTAGGAGTATGAATTGTCAGGTCTCCAAATAAATGACTTAGATGAAAGTAGGCACAAAGTAAGTGTCGTTGGTTATATTTTCTACAGATGTGAACATATGATACTGGGGCAATAATCCTACTTCAGTTTATTGATACTTTAAGATAGCTTCTACTTGCAATCTTTTTAGTTATTCTGGTTGTAGAGTATAACAAACTTTTCTACCATATTACGTTTTCAAGTTCATTTTCAACTATGAAGATTTTATAGAACCCTTAACACTGTATACATTAAGAGAAATCTATATTGACGTAGGTTTTACTTCATAGTAATTAGAACATGCTTTCAAGGAAGCAAGCATTGCTTACTTTTTAACACAAACAGAAGAAGTTAAAGGATGAAACTTCATTAAACGGTTCTCACTAGTGATGAGAAATAAAGGATGATAGCACTGACTTGGATTTCTTAAATATTTGAATTTTCCCACATTACCTAGTTCTGACGCCATCTGAATAGCTGTAGCTATGCATTATACCTTTATTTATTAATAGAACAAGCAATTGTGAGCCTTGATTTTGGCAAAAAAAAATTGATTTCAGTCTCTGCCCTTAAATCTGAGAGAGGATAATTCTGGTAAATGGAGGTTGTTAAAACCTCTATCCTTTTTCTTTTATAGGCAGAAGCAAGGGGTGTTCTTTTTGTTTTTGTTTTTTTTAAACTTCAGGCTGGACTTTGGGACCACTAAAATCATAATCTGTACTCACTTTTTTCATTACTTAAGTGTATCTTTTCTTCTTTCTTACCTTAAATTCACTTAGTGTGTGTGTGTGTGTGTGTGTGTGTATTATGTAGATATAGTTGTGTTAACAAATCCCCATGGAACTTAGTGGGCCACGGTTTGTTGCTTTCCAAAGCTTTTTACAAAACTAGGAGTAAATACATTGAACGGAACTTGGCTACACAAGTAAATTGTTACATTACACAATACATGAAAAACAGAAGAAGAATCCATTGCAGTAAGTCATGTGCATTGAAAAGAGATTCTTCAGTGTAGTAAAGTAATTTTATAACGGATTCTACACAATTATTAGAATAACCTATTTTTTAAAAACTGAAAAACATTGCTCAGGATGAGCCTGAAAATACTGCTTCTGTAAGAGGCACTGAAGTTTTTTTGGATCTTTCTTCTAGTTTTGTTTTGTTTGGTTACTACCATTTCAGGCTATTTAGCTTAAATGCTACTTTAACCATTCCCATCAGTTTCACTATTGGAGTTTGGTTGCCTTATTAGTAACAAACTGTTAAAAATGAGTTAAAGGTAGATGGATACTTGGGTATCTATTGTGTACGCAGTTTTTTTAATATTCTCTCTAAAATATAAACCAATGTCAGAGTCAATTGATACAAGAGTTCTTACAACTGAAAATTTTTAAGTTAAGAGTGCAGCTGGTAAGAAGCTACTAATTAATGCAGCACTTAAGAAAACATACTTAGTGTATTGTTTGTAATTTTGCCATTTGAGATCAGGAAATCACTTCATTTTAAACCATTTGCAGATATTAGACAGTCTTATGACCTCAGATGTGTCTCTTTCTATATTTAACTGCATATATTGCCAGTTGACTTAAAAAAATCAGAAGGGAAAAAAAGGTCTAATATGACCCAAGCAGCAGATTACATGTTATGCTTCTGTGCATACCTTTCAGAGAGCAAGATAAAACTCATTATATATTGCATTAGGAAGGGGAGAAGGAACTTAAACTTTTTTTAAAACCACTTAAACAGAGGAAAATCAAATTGCTTTCTGAAAATTCAGTATTTATGACATTCTGTAGAAAATGATTTTTAGTTACTATGTGTTCCATTGTTTTTTCTAAAGTAGTGGTTTAAAATTTAAAGTCGCATTATTACACTGACATCATTGTCTTGAAAATTCATAACTAGAGAACTGCATAACATGATTTGAGTTCCTTCATTGTTCCCCACTTAGGCTTTTGAGATTCTGTTGAAGTAGCCAACATTTGAGGGAGAATAGTTAAAATCAGTAGTTTAACTTTCTGTTAACTTAGCACACAATGTTTTTCATTCTTGAAGAGTTTTTGGCATGTTGAACAACTTCAAAATTTAATGTTTAATATAAGTTTAAGTTAAAATCAAGGATGCTATTTGTCCTTTCGCCAGTATTAATTTTTCAACCAGAATTTCTTTGCTCTAGATATCTTCCATGGGTGAGAGAAAACTGGTTGTAGATAGTGAAAATCTACATGAACTGAAAAAACTTCTCCATTCTTTCATGAGAATTAATGGTTATTTTAAAATTTTGACAGTGATTGCTTTTGTGCTATAAAAGCATTTACCTATACCGGTTATCCCAAAGCCTAACATAAATAGAAACCAGTTCAGAATTATTGAAAAACTATTATGTATTTTTTAAAAAAAACTTTAATTGCTCAAACTTCTTAGATTATTAAGAATGAAAAACTATTGTCTGTTAGTAGAAAACATATTTACATATTCATCAACTTGGCTTTCTTATAAACCCTCTACTGATTTAGCTTGCATTGACATTCTTTGCCTTTTCTGTGTCTTGTCTACCCCATTTCTCTTTCCGTTAGATCCTCCTACTACTACTACACGACCACCTACGGTTCCATGGCATCCTTCAACTGATGGCATCACAGGTTTAGCAACAGAACCAAAACTAATGCATTTTCCAACATCAACTTTGCCAGCAATGCAGGAAGAAAACTGGGGTACCATCATCGGTAGTGCAGTGGGTGGGGCTCTCTTTCTGATACTTGTAAGTGTTTTGGTTGGAATTATCTGCTATAGGAGAAGACGGACGTTCCGTGGTGACTACTTTGCTAAGAACTACATTCCACCATCAGATATGCAAAAAGAGTCTCAAATAGATGTTCTCCAATCAGATGATGTGGATTCTTACCCTGACAGTATAAAAAAAGAAATAAAACATCCAGTGAACAGTTTAATATCAAAAGATTATTTAGAAGACCCAGACAAACCACAATGGAACAATGCAGACAATATTAACAGATACCAAGAACGGTATGAAAGACCAATGGATTATTATGAAGGTGGAACACTGGGAATGAAGTACATGAGTGGTGAATGTTATGATGACAATGAAGAAGACTTTGTGTCACATATAGATGGCTCAGTAATATCCCGGAGGGAGTGGTATGTGTAGCAATCACTGATACCTTAACTTGGTATATACAGTTCCATTCATTAGTTGATCACTTTCAGGTTGTTTATATTTTTACTTGAGGAGCAACAAGCTTTTTGAAGTTGATTTTCAAGCTTTTGATATTGTAAAATCTGGGTTAAATGTATCTGAGCTGCTTTATGATGTTTTCAATGCTGTACTACTGTATTTGACAATATTGGAATTTTAATGCATAATGCTTTATCCATGGCACATGTAAGAACCAAGTGCTAAATTAAAGTTACCATGCAAAAATGTTGCAGTTAAAAACAACTGTCTTGGCTTTGTGATTTTTAAAAAAAAAGTTTACCAGAGACTACGATGAAGTTTCTTTGTTAAGCGTACATTTTTGTATACAAATTTTAAGACCAAAACAAGTGAAATAATTTCAAAGCTGAAATTTATCTGAGGTAAACTCAATTCTTCAAAGTAATTTTTACTCTGCAAAAACAGGGATTTACTTAAAGCTTTGTTTTCAAAGATTTATTTTTCTTTTCTAGGCAAAAATGAATACTTTTTTTTTTTTAAATGAGCCTTTCTCCAATAAGATGTGTATAGTTAGTGGTTTTTTTTAAAGGAAAGATTGAAAGTTAGAATTCTCAGCAAACAAATTTTAGAGGAATAACCGAACAAATACATGGAAGTTTGTCTTGTAGCTGATTTTGAGAACCACTTTTACACTAAGATTATTTCCCAAAAGTACTGTTACAGTCTGTGTACAGTGTTATAGTCCTGTACTTCACATGAGATCAGAACTGGTTAGCTAAATTAAAAGAGAAAGAAATGTAAACTAGATAGAATAAGATGCCTGGAAAGTTTTATTAGGAATGGGAAATACGCTTGAGATACAAATTGTAAGTGTATGGGAGAAAAAGAGTTGTTAATATAGCTAAAGTATATTTAAGATTCTAGCCAAGTACAACATAATATGGCATGTAGAACATAAAAGGTAAAGGGCAACATTTTTAGAATGGTTATGATTACTTCATTGCTTTAAAGAGTTGAGCATGCTTCAAAGAGAATATCATTCATACTTTTCAAAAGGAGTAAACATAACAAAATGTTGCTATTTAAAAAGAAGCAACTAGGGAAATATTGCTTTTTAGTGGTGTTGAAAAATAATTTGTAAAAGCACACTGTAGAATCCCCAAAATAGCAGTTGTATGTATTACTCAGTTGAGTTTGTTTGTATTACATTAGTTTGCTTTGTTGCAAATAAACAAGTGGAATGGTTGACTAAAATAGTAAGCAGTCTTGTAGCTAGGAGAAGCAGATGGTTACTAAAAATGCAGTTGCATGCTTGGAAGTCTTATTTCAACAGTTCAAACAATCTTGCCTCTCCTTCTGCAATAGTAGGTTCACTACCTCAGCTTTGCAACTTAATAAAATGGAATCTGAATGAAGTTAAGATAATCTAGTTTGATAGCTGTTAAATTCTAAAAATTAGAGGGGATGAACAGTTTTGTGACCTATTTTAAAATTTTACAATTCATGAATTCAGAAACATTCATTCATGAATTAAAAAACTTACTGGGGAAAACTTGCCTTACTGTTGAAGTCCAAAAATGGGGTACAGGAGGATGGAGATTACCACACAATTAAAAAATTAAAATTCTTAGCCAAGCTTCTTAATGATGCTTAATGGCTGCTTGTTTGGATTTTTTTCTGCAAAATTAGAATATTAAGAGGTATACAACAATGTGGGAGCTGTACTAGACTTTTGTCAGTAGTCTGACTCCAAATGACTGTGTATCTTCAAAAAATGAAAGGAAAACTAGAAGATTCATGTGAAGGTCAGAACAGTTGCTTAAGGCTAGTTATGCTTATAATTGAGAGGTATGTAATGTATACTAAGCTAATTGACCAAAGTCTCAAATTAGAGCTATAGTAAGGGGGCCTGGGGTCAGGTGTAAATTCATGCAAACAAATTATTTTATATAAGTCTTCTCTAAATCCTACTGAAGAAACTGGATCGGATTTTATGTATGTAACTTGTTGTGTCTGAGAACTTGACTTGAAGAGAACCTTAACTATAAACTCAGCAGCCATGTCAAATGGTTCATTGGGGCCTTGAGTAGGTTTTGCCTTTTGTAACACAAGTTGAGATAAAGAAATGAGTATTTTATATTACCTTAATTTAAAATGGTGATGAACACACTTATCAAACAAAAATTTTAAACAGAAGAGGTTGGTAACAGGGTTAAGACCCCAACAGAGTTGCAGTTTTTCCTGATTGATGTATGTTTGTAAATAGAGAATTGATTGTAAGTATGAATAGCTGTTGTGTGAAATAAACATCTGCTGTTAAATTGAGTTCTTGAATACAAGTACTATGCAAAACTAATTGAAAGACAAGAAATGAGAGCCAAAACTTGCATCCCAAATACATATTAAGTTTAAAAAAATTGGAAAGGGGGCTCATTACAATTAAGAGAATACTTAATGTTAAGTGTTGGGACACATGACCTTCTCATTGGATGAGTTAACTCTGACAAGTTGACTCAATAAAATTTCTCAGTTTGGAGTTTAAGTTCCCCCTCTATTTGCCTCTGAGACTTGTCTTACTGCCTTATCTGCTAAACTAACCAGACAGCTCCTGCCATAGATAGTCCTCTTCCGCACACTGATACCAGCTATCCTCTAGGAAATCGGTTGTTTTATTTGTTTTTTTTTCCCCCTGGGACTTTGTCTCTAGAATGGAGCAAAGATCTAGGCGCAAACTTTGTCAACACAGATGACCCTGTGATTATTGCCTTCCTAATTATGTATATTCAGTGATTCCTTGCCTGCTGCTCTAACTGATGAATGGTCTCCCACTTTGTTGTGAGAGATTGAGATTCCTCACCAGCAAGTTGAGTGTGGTAATAGTAACAATGAAGCAAAATTTGCACTCTTTACCAGGATCACCTTGATTCCATGACAAGCCACTCCACATAGCTTGCAAATAGGAAAAGTAGGATCAGTTCATGAACCAATAATGCTAAAATATCCCCTCACATTCTGTAAGATGAAACACAGCCTGTAAATTCTGATGTAGGCAAATACTCCCTCAGTGAATTCATATTCACACATCTCTGACAGTTACTTTTACTCCAAGGGACTAAAATGCAACATCTCTCCCTTCCAGCCCCCATTCCACCTGCAGCATTTCAGGCCCAGTAGTTATGACCTTTGCTAGACAACTTTAAAGTATTGAGGAAAAAGAAAATTCCTTCGTGAAAGGCCAATACCAGGAGAAGATCGTTTCTCAGTCGTAGGCATGTACAGCATAATATGTTTGGGACATAAGGTGTGGCTTTGGAAGTTTTCCCGTCCAATAGCTTTCAATCAAAAAAACAAACAAACTGGAAGACTCATTGCTTGTGAAGTTGACACACTGTACTGTACATCTCTTAGATACTCTCTGGAATGGGTTCAATTGCAGTCAGTTTGGTAGGGTTCATCTACAGATTTTTTTTTTAATTTTTGCCAGACATAAAAAAACGAAACACAAAAAAAGCTCACCAGCAATCAAACAAAAAATCATTCATGGTTATGCTTTTATCCTCTCTTGATCAAGAATACCTTATTCTCGCCAGTTCTGCATAGGTGTCAAACATCAAACTTTGAATTTCAGGTAGTGAGGTTCACTGATCATAGCTCTGGTGTTTTTAAAGTCAAGTGTATGAAGCTGGAATCATAGCAGGACTTGGACCCTTTGGCTTTTCAGAGCTGGCAGTTAGATACAGAATTTTAGCTATAAATAAAATATTGCTTTGGATTTTGCAGATAATCCACTCGTATGGGTGAATGAAGCACCCGAACCCTTAGACAAGTATCTTACCACTGGCATTTGGGTTGGAGGAGTAACTGTTGAAACTAATTACAGTCTTGATGGTTAAGATAAACCTTGATGTAAAAATGATCCTTTTGTGGGATGAAGGAATATTTGTTCCTATCAGTCACTGAGCTACATGTAGACTTTACAGATAAAGGCCAGAGAAGGGAACAGAATTGAGATTAAAAATAGGTATGGAATGAATAGCTAAGAGGTGAGGAAAATAAGAATGAAGCAAAGATTAACAGAATAAAAGTACTGGACATGGATGCTACACTCCAGGCAACACAGGAAGTTGGACACAGGTAGACATGAAGCAGTAGACCTTACTTACAGCTAAATAGGGAATCTGATGAACTGGTATGGAAGCTTGCATATCATAGTCTGCCTAAGGCTGTACAAAGACATGGGATAAAGGATGTCCAAACTCTGAAATGCCAGATTATCAAGTCAAAATAATTCATGGGGCATTGATAGCTTTAGAGTTTGTACCTGCATGTGAGTTGCCTGCCGCTTGGCTCTGTGCACGAAAACAAAATCCAGCTGGTAAGCTGTGTTTCTGAAGTACTGTTTCCTTGCGTTCTAAATATACTGCCATTTAAACTCGGCTGTTAATTTATTGTGAAAATGCCCAGTTTACTTGTGGTTAAAAGTAGCAGAGGCATCCTCAGGCTTGAAATGGAGAATTGAATCCTCATACTTTGGAAGAAAAAGAATCCAGTTTGTGCAGTTGTCACTTTCAATATGCCATTTCTTATAATGTGTGTGGAGAGAGACTAAAAAGAGGTGACATTAATTGTAGAAAGGTGATCATCAGTCTCTTTGAGAGAGGAGACAAACTTAAGACAATGATCTGTACAATACAGCGGTATCAGACATTGTTTTATAGCCTTAGCTACTATGTAGTGACCCAAATGGTGCTGAAAAAAGACCAACACTTTACGGTTTGGAATTTCAACTGGAAGGACTTTCCTATGAGGAGTGCTGTCTGAGGGTATCTCTAGACTACAGAGTTTTGTCGGGAAAAACAGCCGTTTTTCCAATAAAACTTGTTATGTCCACACTTCTAGTGTGTTCTTTCGACAATAAATAGAAAGAACAGAGGGCTTTTTGTGCAATTGGTAATAATCATTCTATGAGGAAGAAGCCTTTTCGCGAAAGAGCTCTTTCACAAAAAGGCATGTGTTGATGGGAAGAGGGAGTTTTTTCACAAGAGTGAAGAAGAAAAAGCACAGATGCCCTGTGGTCATCCTGTCTATAGCAATCACTGCTTACATGTGAGAGAGCATCCAGGCAGTCTGGACGCTATCTTTCGAAAAAGCACATCACTTTTTCCAATGTGCTTTTGCAGTGTGGACTATTTCGAAATACTTTTTTTTTTTTTTTTTTTTTTTTTGGAAGATCTTTCTCCAAAAAAAGCTTCCTGTGCAAGAAGCCTGTAGTCTAGATGTAGCCTGAGGGATTAAAATTAATCCAAAGTGGTAAAAGTGTGTGTGTTTCCTGATTAAAAAGCAACCAATCCTTACCTGACAATTTTATAGCCCAAGATACAAAGCCTTCTTAACTTTAGCTCGCTATTACAGACTTGTTTGCTTAAACTAATACCAATTATGCCAAATTTCAAAGCTTACGTTTTGGTATATTTTACTGTTAATTTTTTAATACTTATCCATTCCCTTTAAAGTCAATGGAAGTTTTTTCCAACTCTGTGATACCTTTGATATACTTACTGTGATAATAATGAATAGTTATTGAACTTGTGCAAAATCTCCACTTTGCTCATGGCAAAATTTTGCAATAGAAGGTACTCAATTTGAAGCTTCCAGCCACATCTAGAATTCCTGGGGGATATGAGAACAACAAGAGCAGTTATGACTCGAACCTATTGGTAAATGGGTGAAATCTTTTAAGTCTGATAGAAACATGGGTTAGAAATTTAGGTCAGCGGTGATACAGTTGTGGGCAGTTGTGACATAAAGCATTTATTTTTAATGTTGTAGAAGATCACTGAAATGTAAAAATCTCAAACTTTCTAGAAGCCTGTGTTGAGTAGCAATTTCATTAAAACTTTGGTTAAAAATAGAACATTCATTGAAAATTCTTAATGCTTTCTAAAAATGTTCGGTCCTGGAGATGACATATTACACGTGGTTTTGGTAAGTGCTAACTTAGTATTTCTGCATGTTAATTGCTCCCAGAAGTCTGTTTCATTTTTTCTTCAAAACTAATTTGCTTGGTCCCTGTTTTTGCAACTCCCAGTGGTTTAAAAAAATAGTTGCTACTTGAGTATATTGCACTGTTCTTTCTGTTTGAAATATGAAAAGCATGCTGTTACTGTATTCACTCAAAGGCTTAAAGTAGCTTGCTTATTCATAAATTGCCTTTTCTTTAAAAAAAAAAACTGTCTTAAGTTGTGTTTTAATGAGAGCTAGACACCTGGCATTGCTAAGATTTTGAAAGAGCATCTTGGACTATAAAAATGACTTTTGCATGATGGTCTAAGTAGGTATGATAGTTTCCAAAATCTTGCTTAAATGACTAGGTTCATGAGGATGGAAAACACAGTAATACCTGAAAAGGATAATTTGTGGTGCGTTCCATTACAGATGTGCCATTTAAGCAGACATCTTCTGTAGCTGTAGCGGGGGCTGTAATTGGAGCAGTTCTTGCTCTCTTTATCATTACCATCTTTGTGACAGTGCTATTGACTCCAAGGAAAAAAAGGCCATCCTATCTTGACAAAGTGTAAGTATCTCAGTTTCTTAAACTAGAAGCAATAACCATTAATTATTTGGCTGCTTATAGTTACCTATATGCTATAGTTAGGCTTGGGGCTTCTCCCTCCCCCCCACAATAGGGAGCCTGCACTGACACTCTGTCCATGTGGCCCTCTACAAAGTTGGAGTGCCAGCACCAGCTTCATGCTTGGGATGGGGAGTGGATCTGGTTTGTGGGAGAAGGAAGCAGCTTGGTGCTGCTGTTTTCCTTCCCCCTGGCTGGGAGAATTGCAGTGCAGGGAAGTGCTGCCTGGAGGCTTTCCCCACTGCTTCTATTGGCTGGGAGCCTGGCACACAGGGGGCAGGGG